TCCAGGCAAGCTTTATTTGTCAGAACACAAACAAAACAGTCTACAAGAGTATTTCTTCAGTTAAAGTGGATTTCCTCCCCTTATGTTATCAGAGGAGCAGCCAAAGTTCAAGGTCATCCAAAGCTATAAAGCAAACTTGAGTCTAGCCTGTTGTATATGAGATGTTATGATAAGGAATTGCTGATTCATTCATATCACTGATGAGTCCTAATTGCCGTACAGTGTATTTGATTTATGGAATGTTTTTTTCTCATTTTATATTGGTTTTTCAATACCAGGTTTCTCTGTGTCCTGGCTCTCCTGGAAGTCACTCCAGTTCAGCACTGTATACATTCATTTGACTCTACTACTGCTCTGTTTATGGTAGGCAGCATCCACAGCTCTCTCCCTCCCACTACTTTTGTGATCTCAATACTAAATGAGCTGAGAGCACTCTTGTCTGTTTAAAATGCTGTATACTTGGCTGTGTCCTGAGGTAACAGTATACAATGACAAACATCGAACACCATCTACTCAATCCCCATGCTGTTGGATCATTCTGAATGGGCCCCATGCTCACATTTGTCTTTCTTTCTCCTCTCTCTCATTCATTTTAAACATTCTTGGATTTTGGAGCTCCTGGTCCTTCCTTGTTTTCAGATCCTCTTTCTCCATGTTTGAGCCCAGTGGATGGACAGGAAGGGCTCCATGCCAGCGTTTCATTGGACACATCCTGCTCCTTGCCATGTGTCCAAAAGCCAAACAGCTCTTGCATTTTACCTGTGTAGACTGACTAATGAACACAGAGTAAGATGCAATCTCACATAAATGTCAAAGTCCTACAAAATGACTTTCAGGTGAGATTCAAACTTGCATTGTAGGATAAATCCTAGAACTATAAATACTAGAACTACAGTCCATCATCTGCCAAGAAAGAAAGAATTCTACAATCATTCACAGGGTCCACTTAACAGAGCAATCCAGAAATAAAGAAATTTGTGTCTAAATGGATACAGTGGGTAAGGTAGTGTGACTCAGAACTTTGGACTCAGCACTCAGGAAGATAAGGGAGGAAGGACATGAGTTAAGGAAAAACCTTCTCTATACAGATAGTCCCAGGTCAGCCTGTAAAAGTTGGTGACATGGCATCTAAAAGTAAAAAGGAAAATGAAGGCTGCAGATATAGCTCCATTGTATAGCACTTGGAAAAAAAGATCAATGTGGGAATGGCTTTGTGGTAGAGGGCAGTTGAGAAACACACAAGTAAATTTTGGGGTGTTCCTAAGCAACGGACATGGCTTAGTCTGTATGAGCTACTAAGTTCCGTGCTCAGTCAGCAATGAATGTATAGCAAAAAATGATTCAATAAACTGCAAATGGGAAAATACCAGGTTTTTAGTGACAGGGAGTGTGTACAAAGTGGCTCCTCAGATGTTCTCAGTGGGCTGGGAGTTTGAGAAAAAACTGCAAAAATTAGATGCTTGTATAAAAGAATATGAGTTACAGACACCCATTCCCCATGGTTAAATCCACTTTGTAGAGTACACAGAAAACCCCTGTTCTCAGGACTTCCAGGTGCACTGACCTTGATTTCTTCCTCCTCTTCTGGAGGAGCTCTTGGACTCACTGATCCAAAACATTTCTTCTTCTCTGTGTTGTCTTCAGTGGTTCTCTGAGAAGGAGGTTTTATTCAATGACTTGCCATCTTCTTCATAACTTTTGGCACTTACTCAACATTTTTCATAAACTGAGCCTTACACTTCCTAGTTATGAGGTAAGGAAAAAAAAGTTTTATTGGCACACATATTTTGTCTCTACTTTAGGAGGCTGAGATGGGAGGGATTTGCTGACCAGTTTCACACACACCATTCCCTGGAACACTCAGAGATGATGTCACATTCTTTGACCCTTTCCCAGGATCTCACACTCAGAGAATTGGTAGCCTCCTGAGAAAACACTATCTGGCTTACTAAGGCTGAAATGAGATGTGTAGGATTGCATAAAATTTACTGGGTTCTGAAATTTTCCTATATTTTCCAACCAATTTAATGATCTCTTTGTTTTTAAATTTTTATGCTTCGTATTCTTTCCAATTTGTTGTACTTCAGTTTTAGTTTTAAGTTTTAAAATTAAGTTTTATGTTTTAAGATTCAGTTTCAAGTTTTATGATTAAGTTTTAAGTTTTAGTTTAGTTTTATTTTTAAGATTTATTTTTTAATGTAGTTTTGATAGTTTTGAGTCTGTCAAAAGGAATATTTTTATGTAATAATATAGGAAATTAAATTAATAAACTTAATTAATTGAAAGAGGTCCAGAAAAACTTCTCAATGATCGTTTTAATTTTACAATAGTGATGCCAGCAGCACAATAACAAACAAAAGACACACACACACACACACACACTCTCTCTCTCTCTCTCTCTCTCTCTCTCTCTCTCTCTCTTTCTAAAATACACACATACTAAAATACACACAAATAAAACATAGACTCACTGAAATACACCTACTAAAATACATGCAGTATATACACTCATTAATTACATTTACTCAAACACCTAGACATAATAAATAACATTGAAACTGCTACATATATACACTAAAACAATGCACATAGAATAAAATGAACATACATGTACACATATACTGTGTAACTCCACTGATCAATCCATGATCTCTTCAATTTCTCCCTAGTTTTGTATTTTTTTTTTCACAGAAGGAGCTTTGATTCAATCTAAAACACTAAGGAAAAATAATCACAAAGAGGATTAAGTGGATAGATACTCAATCTCCCAATCGGAAGGAAGCATATTCTTGGGAGGAGGGGCTACATAGAGGGAGTATGAGGGGAAGGGAGTATAAAAGGGCCAGAGGAGCCTTAGAAAGCTCTCAACGTCCTAGGGTCTGGAGTCACTCACTGACTGGCCTGTTAGGAACTGGAGTCCTGTCACCAGTGTCCAGATCAGGTAAGTCACTCACCCCATCAAGGGGAACTTTGCATGCTCAGGAGTTCTTATTAGGAATTTAGCTACATTTGAACATCCTACATGTAAAAGGGAAAAACAGAATTTGAGGATTGTTTTGGTTTCATTTTGTTATGTTTTGTTTTGTGAGGTGTTGCTGGGTGTGGTGTGCTTTTAATATGAAATGCCTATTAGACTGGAATTTACTTTTAGTAGTTTCATTCATTTTAGGTATTTTGGTGGCAGATATCAGATCAGCATGAATAGCCTTGAATTTCAGCTCCTTTTGGTCTGTAGAGCATCCTAGCTTCATTTGGATTTCAAGTTAAGATCTATAGTTGAATCCTTTGTAGCCTCTTAAATTATGTTTCAGAGATTAAGTTTTTACAGTTGTTTGAATTGATATTTCCTCTTAACTGTGATTTATAAATAATCTTCAGAATAACTAATAGTTTTAAGAGCATAAGATGCAAACCTCACCTCATCAGGGAGCTGAGATTTAAAAAAAGGGTTGTGTTAGACTTGATTATTTGATCTGACATTGTCCGAGAGACAAGTTTAAACAGAAAACCAAAAAGGATTCTGGGTATACATACACACTAGCCTCACCTGGTGAGTAGAATTAAGGTCCACATCACAGAAGATCCCAGATCCAGGGTAGACATGGGTGAATGAAGAGATGAAATTGAATAGAAAACCTTGGCATGTTTCTCATTTTTGGATCACTTATGTAGTGGAATTAAACCCAACATCTGAACCAAGGATCAATATATTTCATATTTCATTAGATAACTCTTAACCTAGAGTAGCCTAAAATACACTATGTAGAATAGAACGGCCCTGAAATCTTCCTGATGTATTGTCTGAAGTGTTTTCATGACAGGTTTCTACCAAAATACCTTTCATCTACTCAGTGTTTTAAAGTGAGATTGCCCTAGGCACACATGGGTGCCAAAACAGAGGACCATGTGAGTGACAAGCTAGATTAGTGTCAACAGGGACATTCCTGGGTTGCACAATACGATCTTTCAGGTTAGGAAACATAGGCGATTCCATTCAAACCTCCACTATATGCAAAACCATATTTTTAAAATTAAATGAAACTAGATTTTCTTCTACTGTCTTTCTTATTTATCCAAGGTTATAGTCAGCATTGTTAATAGTGCTTTGTGGGTGCTCTTGGCTCTTTCAAAAAACAGAAAAGGAAACTACCAAACATGAGGGCCAAGCTTTATAAGTGGGTTTATTGCTCTGTGTGTGGTTCGAGTAGTCTAGATAGGGTGTTACCCGACAGCCAATCTATCAGGTCAGACCCTGCCTCAAAAAAGTGAGCTAATTAATAACTAATTAGTAAACTTAGGGATTAATTGAAAAATATACAGTGAGCTGGATCATAGTTTTATCATGACAAGAGTGAAGCCTGGAGCTCAATTTCAAACAAAACAAGGAGCTATGGATCAGTCAATATACACTAAGAAAATATAATCATAAAGAGGATTGAGAAGATGTAAAATCAATCTCCCAGTCAGATAGAAGTGTGTCAATAGGATGGGGGGCTACAGAGGGAAGTGATGAGGAGAAAGGATCATAAAAGTCCAATAGGTCAGATCCTTGTGAGAATCTCTGCATTCTTTGCCATGCAGATTGAATGTAGAACAGGGGAGGGTTGTACATGTGACCTTAGAACTCTCTTTTTCTTAATGGACTTCAAAGGGGATCAGTCTCTAGTTGGCATAACAAGAGGCTGGTCTGATTGCTTGCTTCTGAACAATCTTTCCAAAGGGGAATGAGAATCAGAGGATCAGGGCTTGGTACCTGGTGGGACAATGTTAATTGTACCTGAGTCAGTTCTGATGAGGAACTCCACATTATGATGGTGATGAGGGTTTGAGATGACCAGATATTACAAGAAGACACACTGAGTTGTTGACTATTGCTAGATCAGGGATTCTGGCCTAGGTTGGTTTCTTTGATAGGGGAAACTCACAAAATTCTAAGACATAGCATGGAATAATGACTCCTGAATGTTTTACCAGGTACTTTTTTGTGAAGACCCATCACAATGAGCTTTGAGCCACCATCTACACTCCTGGAACTCTCAATGAAGAATCTGCTTAGGAATGAAGCCTTAGCCATCTCAGTTCTGCAGCAGCTCCCCTCGGAGTTCTTCCCGTCCCTTTTCAAGGAGACCTTCAAGAGCAGACATATGAAGATACTGACAGCAATGGTGGCAGTATGGCCCTTTGCCTGCCTCCCTGTGGGAGCAATGATGAAGGTCCCTGATATAGTGATATTGCAAGCTCTACTGGATGGTGTAGACATCATGTTGACAGACAAGGCTCACTTCAGGTATGGCCAAGGAATAATACAATGGGTGTCACTGAGTTACTGGTATAGAACCAGTGGAGTCATGTAGAATTATGTCAGTGGTGGTTTGGAGGCTTGTGTGATTCTCCGCTTTGAAGTTGGTGGAAGCAGAAGCCTCTATATATAATTTGAGTAATAATATAATCAACCTTCAGAAGTACAGGGTACCTCTGTGTGGATGTAGCCATAGTAGCATTAGCTTTCCCTGTCCTCTCCACCAGGTAATAAGATTAGAAATCAATAGTAGCTGGATGGAGAGAAGCAGGAGAAGCATCTAGACATAGCTCATGCAAAGAGCTGTTGGCTGACACATGTTGCTGCTAACATCAGAGAACTGCAATGAAAGTTGGCTCTGTGTTAGTTCTCTACTTTCATTGTAACACTTTATTTTTTTCCCCTCACAGAAGGTCAAAACTTCGAGTGCTGGATCTGAGAAACATGCACAATGTCTTCTGGGATGTATGGCCTGGAATACAAGGTTTAGACTGCTCTAAAGGGACATTGAGTAAGAAGCAAACAGGAAATGGCCATTTTAGATATGCCGTGAGGAGGCTCCTGAAGGTGGTCACTGATTTTGATCTAAGATTTGACCTGAATGAACAGCAAGCATACTTGTTGCAGTGGGCCCAGCAGCGAAAAGGTTCTGTGAGGCTGTGCTGTATAAAGATGTCCATCTGTGTGACTCCTTTAGACACTATCATGATGGTCTTGAAAACTTTCCAGCCAGACTACATTGAGGAACTGGAACTATCCACAAACTGGTCTCTGGTCATACTGAGTCATTTTGCACCTTGCTTTGGACAGATGAGAAATTTGCGCAGACTCCATCTAGCTCGCATTTACATGAACACCAACAAAGCTGTAAATACCGTGGCAAGCACAGAGGAGAAGAGTGCTGCCAGGTTCATTTCTCAAATTGCCAAACTCAACTGTCTACAGCATCTCTCCATGGATGGTGTCTATTTTTCCAGTAAGCACCTGAAACAGTTGTTCAGGTAAGAAAGCATAAAGAGCTTTGTATAATACCACAGCAAACTTTCTTCTAGTACAATTGAGATTAGTGACCACCTGAGACCAGCCTGTCACTGTGAATTTCAGAATGATGGTCTCATTACAACATCTGAGTATAGTCTTGATTCCATGTTAACTTGCCCATTACAACATCTGAGTATAGTGTTGATTCCATGATAACTTGTCAAAACCTCAGTTACTTCAATGACCATTTATCAATCAGCTAATGAGCTGTTGTTAGAGAACTGAAGAGACAATTTTTTTTTAGTAGATGAACTAGTGGGTCTGATGTAGACACTTTAGGTGTGTTTAGTATACTTCCTTTTGGTCCTGCTAACCCTGATAGCAAGGGAACAGGAAGGAGCATAGTGTCCTAAGGTGAAGAAGAATCATGCCTGCACGTTTTACTTGGGGATCTCTGTCCTTACATCTTTGTGAACAGTAATCTAGTTACAGTTCCCAGGTGGAACCACTGTCCATTTATATCTCCCCATGGAGGGAAGGATGATTTGATCTCAGCTTTGGGCTCAGTAGATAGCAAATTGGTGGAAATGGGCTGATGATCCGTTTCAGGGATTGATGCTCTGAGATCATGGACATAGGCTATTTTTGAAGTGGTAGGACTTCATTGACTTCTGCAGGGCACAGGGCAAAGAGGTCACCAGAACCATTTGGGACTAGACCTCCTTGTTTGTGTCCTTCTAGGATGTATTGGCTATCTCTGGTTCTCCGACAAAGTGAGAATGAGAAGCTGCATAGTTGTGTTCTGAGTCTATCATATGTGATTGTGATTGGTCTGATAAGGCAATGGTGACTCCAGTGAGCAGACAACAATAGGCTGTGTCTTCGGCTCTAAAAAAGACTGTCTTTGCTTCAGTGCTCCCCTATACTGGCTGATTTTGTATCAAGTTGACAAGTGATAGAGTCATCCAAGAAGTGAGAACCTCAAATCAAAAAATGCCTTCATAGTATCAGGCATTTGTCAATCCTAAAGACTGTTTCTTGTAATTGGAGATTAATTTGGGAAGACAAAATCTACTGTGACTGTGGCCATTCCTGGACTAGCTGTCCTGTGTTCTATAAGAAGGCAGGGTGAACAGGATATGGAGGGCCAACTCATAAGCAGCATTTCTGCATGGCCTTTATGTATAAATCCTGCTTCCAGGTTGCTGCCCAGTCTGAATACCTCTCCTGACTTCCCTCTATGATAGATTATATTGAAATGCCTTCTCATATCATGTGACAGAACCAATCTCTTGTTTTTTTTTTCCCCTAGATGTGTCAAGAGCCCTTTGGAGACTCTTTCTGTCAGTCTCTGCCAGATCTCCCAGTCAGACTTGAAACACTTATCCCAGTGCCGGAGATTCTTCCATTTGAAGCACCTGAACCTCTTTGGTGTAGCATTATTTAACTTATGTCCCACACATCTGCTTTTTCTCCTCAAGAATGTAGGAGACACTTTGCAGAGCCTGGAGTTAGAGCACTGCAGGATGGGAGACTCTCATCTCAGTGCCCTCCTGCCTGCCCTGAGCCAGTGCCTCCAGCTAACCAGGCTCAACTTATACGACAATGACCTATCCACGTCTATCCTGAAGGAACTTCTCCAAAGCATGACCCACCTAAGCAAGTTGACTGAGGAGTTCTACCCTGCTCCACTGGAATGCTATGGTGAAAGGGGTCATGTCCTTGTTGACAAATTTGCCAAACTATGCCCTGATCTCCTAGATATACTCCAGTCTAAGAGACAGCCCAAGAAAGTCTCCTTTGGAACAGAATTCTGCCCTCAATGTTTTCAGCGCTGTGTCTATGACCTGAAGACCAGACTTTGTCCATGTTTGTCATAACAGGAATAGGTTGCTCCTCTAATCTGAGAAAGAAATTCAGAGCATAGGACTTCAGTAAGGTGTCCAAAACATGTGGTTTCTGATACTCTTTGATGCCTCAGGAACAAAATATTCTTCAGTGGAACTATGCCACATTCAATGACTTGATGAACTACATTGAGACCATGGAGGACAGGTGTCATGTAGGATCAGAAACACAGATTTACACATACAAGTGTACATCTCTCAAGATAAGTACACCAGTGACTTCCCTCTGCAAGTTAATTTTAAACTTATGGTCAGATTAGGAACCTGGATGTTCTCATCTGGTCCCCAACTCAGTCATTTACCTCAGTTTTTCATTCAAAATCAGAATGGCACCTCATCTATTATGATCATGGAAATTGTAGTCCAAGACCAGTATCAAAATGAACTGCTGTCCTTTATGACATTGTTCTCCTTTCTTTACCTCCCAATGTTTGGTGGTTTATGTGCACATTGATGTCAAACTGAACTGAATGTTGAAGACACCATGTCCTGTGAAGAATGTTTTGGAGTATGGAAAGGATTACAAGCAGGATAATCAGAGAGGAGACAGTGTGTATACACCAAAGTTTGCTGAGGGAAAAATCCTTACCTAGAGACTAGCTGCACCTGAGACTAGATGTTAAATATTCAGATGTAAGCTTGGCCTTTATTTTGTTAAATGAGTACCCACTCTTGTTATTTGCATCCCTCTTTTGGCCCTGTATCATATAACAATAAAATAGTTGTGAAATTGTATTCTATTTCCTTGGTTTTATTCAAATATATACTAGTAGTCTTTTCTTGAATGGTTGCTGTACTGCTTGCTAACTCACATAACTTAATAACTGGAGATGGCTCCTAAATAAATCACACTCTGGTGTAGCATGAATCTTAACAGTTCTTATTAATAAGATCAAACCCCAGGCCAGTTATTGGGGTAAATGCTGGAAGGTCAGAGTACCAGAACAAGCCACAGCTAACCTCACCTAGCCAACTTCTCAGCTGGTCTTGTTTCCTCAGACTGGAAGCTTCTGTGTCCTCATCCCAATGGCTCTCAGCTGAACTGCTGCTAGAAGCCTGAAAGCTTAACCAGCCAATTGCTTCTAGTTTCTGGTCCTCACGCCTTATAAACCTTTCTGCTTTGCACCACCACTCCCTGGGATTAAAGGCTTGCTTTCTGGGATTAAAGGTGTGAGTCACCATGCCTGGCTGTTTTCAATGTGGCCTTGAACTCACAGAGATCCAGAGGGATTTCTGTCTCTGGAATGCTAGGATTAAAGGTGTGAGTGCCACCATTTTCTAGCCTTTGTATTTAGTGGCTGTCTGTTCTCTGACCCCAGATAAGTTTATGAAGGTACACAATATTTTGGGGAACACAATACCACTACACTCTGGACAGAACTTAGCCTGGGAACTGTTGTGAGTATGAAGATAGTGTTTCCTACACAACCCCTTAAAATTAACACTTTCTAAGAAGGGACATTTGATGGAAATTACAATTCCATCTACACTCACATAGGTGAGCTATCACACCTAAGGTCCTACTGTGATCATGGGACATCTTGTTCTTCCAAAATGTCTGTGAATGTTGAGGTCAAAACTCCAACTACAGACTACACTGAGTCTATCCAATGAGATCCTCATACCTTTCAAGGGCAGTTTATTCACCAAAATGAGAAGACAGTATAAGTAATTTTTTAATGCTTGATGCTCACAAGGTATTTCTAATGTCCATGTGCTTCCAGGTTATTTCAGACAATGGAGTGGCATAAGTAGGGAATCATCCTCCTGGTTCCTCAGCTCTGCCCCAACTTCCGGTCAAGACCCTCTAATGTAAACATTCTAGCTACATCTCTGCAACTCAGAGCCTGATGTTCATCCTAAACACACACACACACACACACACACACACACACACACACACACACACACACAATCTTTGGGGGAATCTGCTTCCAGGAACAGAGCCTATAGTATCAAATCACATTCTCCTTTCAGAATACTGACTATCTGGGTCTCTGATGTGTATCACAAGTCAATATAGTCTGCCTTTGAAACTGTAGAGATGGCTCTGCAGTTGAGAGCACTTGGTACTCCATATAAGGACAAAGAAGTATAAAAAAATTTTTGCTGTTTTTTGATAGGTATTGTGATAGTCTAGAGAGAACATAGCTGCAGGTTCTCCTAAATGGTAAGCCCTAAATAAAAATCAGAGGTAGAATTACACTGATTCAGCAGGTTGTATTTAGAAATATATATGTATCTATATATTTTGTGAATATCTATATATTCACAAAATAGCAATTAGTGACAAAAGGAGGTTACAGAATTGAAAAAGAGGAAGAAGGACCCATTAGATGTATTGGAGGGAGGAAATGGAAGGGTTAAATGATATAGATGAATATCTCAAAAAGAAAAGAAAAGAACATCTGGCCAGGTGGCAGTGGCACATGCCTTTAACCCCAGTACTCAGGAGGCCGAGCCAGGCAAAACTCTGTGAGTATGAGACCACCCTGTCTACAGAGCAAGATCCAGGACAGGCATGAAACCTGCACAGAGAAATCCTGTCTCAAAAACAACAACAAAAAGATCATTTCTGGACCTAAACAAGTATATTTGATTAGGAAAAAGAGTATGGTCTGGAGAGCAAATGCCTTCACATCAGTATTAGATGAAGGAAGGAAGGCAGACTTTCCACACAAGTTCATGTTATTCCCTGAATTTTAAACCATGAAGCATGCTTAGAACTATCCCAGATCTGACTGTGGTGATGTATATTTGTGCTGGAATGTGGTGATATTTTATTTGTGCTTTAATAAATAAAGCTTGCCTGGACAACAGGGGAAAAAGCCAGCCACAACACAGAAGTCACATAATGTTAGCATACGCTTTTAATCCTATCACTCGGCAGGCAGGATTTCTGTGTGTTCAAAGCCACACTGGAAACAGAGCCAGGTGTAGTAGCACATGCCTTAAATTCCAAAACTAGTTAACCATTGGAGGTCTGGAGGTCTGTATAGACAGACAGGAAGTGACAGAACTGGGCAGGAAGAAGAAGTGATTTAGCTGGGTGGAGAAAACAAATCAGATGGCAGAACAGCAAGGCACATGTGATGTGAGTAGAAAGGAAGTAACTGGTATTTGGAAGATGCAGAGTTGGTGAAGAAAAGTTAGCTGTGGCTTTCCCAATTTCCATCATCTCTAAGCATTTCACCCATATATCTTGCTCCATGTTTTTTATTTAATAAGACCATTTAAAAATTCATCTACAATTGACCCCCAACAAATGTGGCAAGATTTCAGTAAAAACCCACTTGTGCTGGAGCACATAGCCAGACTCTCTTTGGCGTTCTTTCTCCTGGTGGGTGGCTGGGCTGTCTCTGGATCCAATCTCAGACTGCCACCACACTAGGTTATAACAAAAGTTATACAAGACCCTAGAGCATCCTTCACAGAATTCTTACAAAGGCTGTCTTCAGAAGTAACTAGAATGACACTAAATTCAGAAGCAAGACAGATAATTATTGAATCTTTGGCTTTTGAGGATGAAAGTACAGCATACAAAAGAATAGTCTGGCTGTTAAACACAAGATCAGCACAATTGGAGGATTGGATAAGAGACACAATTAATACTGAGACTCATGACCATGATATTATGTGAATAGGAGAGGTGATATCCAAAGCTTTGAGGAAAAATATTGATGTCAGATATTTTAATTGCAGTAAACAAGGTCATTTGAAAAGGTCGTGTAAACAGGGCATTTCTAGAAACACTGTTGATTAAAGGAACAATGGCAACAGAATGCCCTTCCCTTCTGGATTATGCAGAAGGTGTGGTAAGAGTGAACATTGGACTAATGAGTGTAGATCAACAAAGGACAGAGAAGGTAATTCTTTGCTCTCCCATTGGGAAAATCTCTGAGGGGCCTCACACAGGACCCCATGGCAAATTCAATTCAGGCCTATCCAGAGATCTTAAAAGAGACCACTCCCAGAGCAATTAAAACTAATGCCTGTTGGAATAAACCAGGCTGTTCAGGGTGGTAAAACAGCTGTAGAGGGGAGAACAGGAAATTCAGTAGAAAACATATAGTGAATTTTTGGCAAACTTCTATAAATGAGCAAACACCAAAAATAAAATTATGAATAAATAACATTTGCTTGAAATGTTTGGTAGACACAAGTGGGGAGGTTACAATAATTGCACCAGAATTTTGGCATCCAAATTGGTCTTTTCAGGAGGTATATGTTCAGCTGTTAGTGATTGGGACACTATCTCAAGTGAAACAGACCATAACATGGCTTGAATGTATAGTGCCTGAAGGACAGAGAGAAAAATTAAGTCATATGTAGCTAATATACCTATAAATTTATGGGGCCATGTTCTATTACAGCAATGGAATACTCAGATTAATATTTCTCCAACCTCAGAACAAAACAATAAACTAATACATGTTTCTGAGAGAAATATTAGGAAATACTATAAAGAGCAGTCACTGACCATACAGATTGAACAAGAACAGGGCACAACAACTGCTGATTTTCAAAGATACTAACAGCTCTAACGTTAAAATGATTAACAGATAAGCCTGTATGGGTTCAGCAATGGTCTTTAACTGCAGAGAAATTGCAGGCTTTAGAAGAGTAGTTAAATGCTCAGCATATTGAAGCATCTTTGGAAGCCATGTGGATATCCTGGTATTTTGTCATAAGTGAAAGAATGGTGGCATCTACCTGCTATTCCTGTATTTGCGAGGGCAAGGCAGGAGGACTTTGAAGTTCAAAGCTACCTTCAACCATTAAATGGTAGCCTGTGATATTTGCTATCCTGTCTCATACCACAAATATACTCAAAGTCACTCAAGCAAGCAAACAGAAATAAATCTTAGGGAAAACCCTAGAAGCCTAGAGGAATGAGCTGCCTGACCTCCAGGACATTGGCCTTGCAGACATTACTAAGTCTACCATTAGGCAATCTTCAGGTATGAAATGCA